ATTTGAAGGAAGGAAAGAAAGAGTTGCAATCCTAATTATTAGGACTAATATTAGGACCCATATCTTTATATGATACTAATACGTTAATATAATAATATGACTACTAATATTAGTCCTAATATTATTATGACACATTGTAGAGCTTCAGCAGTGATAGGTAGTGAAAACTTTGCTAACACACATAAACATTGAATATGAAGTGGTACAAAACAATTAAGCTGCTCCTTTTTTACCCAGTTTGTGTTAGAAATACTATCATCTGTGACCGATGATGGTAGCAATTTACAAGGAAAAATAGGCAGCTGTACCTACAATAAAGTACATCTGTTGAAGATTCTTAAGTAGGCTTAAGATGACTCAGTGACGCTGCTCATTAGTGTCTTGTCTCATTAAGGTTTTAGCATTATAATTAAAGATCTCTTGAGGTTTAAATACCCTCTGAATTGGCTTGCTTTCTGGGGACAGATTGCTCTGGAAGTGCATTTTCTCAGGTAGGAAACTTTTAACATCTTCCTAGGATATTATTTTATTTATGTACTGGAGAGTTGTAGCTGGAGAGTTTGGTTCTAAACTAGGAAGAGCAAAATAGGAAGAGCTGTCTTAGTAAGGATATGCTTTAGCAGATGAGTACTTGGGGAGAAGTATATTCTGCATGTGTTCTTAGGATGTCATGGTTTAACATGTCACTCTTGGTAATTGAATTAGTTGCTGGGGTTCCTGTGGTTAATTTCATTAATGTTTTCAGCAGGTACCTCTTTAACACCCCCGTTCTAAGCACATCAAGCAGAAGGAAGAATCAGGCTCCTTTGAAATCAAACTGTGTGAAAACATACATATATAAATCCTAGACTCCATCTACTGCCCCACTTATATTTCGTTTCTGTGCTTTTGCAACAGATAAATTTGGTGGCAGAAACAGGTAGCACATAGGCACTTCCCTTTCAGTTTTGCTCTTTTGTATAATCAAGGACATACCATTTTAATACAGATATTTAATATTTCCTCTTATCAGCAAGTGTCAGCACCTGGCTTAGCTGCTCTGGGTCAGAAGCCACACTGGTTTGGCCTGCTGGGCAATTGAATGGGGGGGGGGGCTATCAGGAAATCTAGGGCCATGGGCTTGACTGGGAAGTCAAAAACATCCTGAAAGGAGTAATGGCAAACCACTTTTTTAGAAAGAGTGCAGAGAAGAACAAGAAGGATGGTAAGGGGCTTGAAAGCGAAATCTTATGAAGAGTGGTTAAATAAACTTGGTATGTTT